CGCCCGTCGCGGACGACCCAAACGTGGCCCCGCCGACGAGGCCACAGTTGCCGCAGTTCGACTTTGAGAAGTCACGGAAGGAAAGGCAAAGGCAGCGATCGGCATCGCTTTCCAACGCAAAGGTGGATGTCAATGCTGCGGACGGTGAAAAGAGGACGGGAGATGTCACCGCTACCTTTAATCGTCTCGAAGCATATGCTCAATGGGAGTCTGGTGTGAGCGCCCGCAAGTCTGACGCCCATCATGATGGCGGTGCCGAAGCTGTTCAAGTCTCCACTGCGGAAAGCCAAAAGCGTGCTGTTCATCCGGCGCCCTTTGCGACGCGATAATCTCCTCGTGCAGTCGCACCCTCCTCTGCTGCCCACGTCCACGTCGCTCCGACAAAGCTCACGCCGCCAACGTTCTTCCAGAGCCCGTGGGAGGTAAGGCTCCAACATTTCTATCTATATACTATGTTACATAGTTTTAACTGTTTACTATTTCTGTTTATTTACGGTCAGTGCTGTATATAGTAAATATATGTTTATATATAGTATACATAGTTTTATCACAACATGAGGCTACCGAACGTATGTTGCCAAATTTGGCAGGATGCCGGTGACTCAACTGTTAGCCACATTTTCGGACAGAAGCTGTGGACAGCCGCATCATCAAACGTTCGGAAATCCACAACAGAATTCTCTGCTACATTCGTCCTCATGCCTCCCTCAACGATTGATGACATCAACAGTCTTGTTGATGCCATCACAATGTTCAGCAAGAAGCTCCCCCCCTCTATACCTGAAGCAACAAAACAAGACCGAATCTACGTAGTGATTACCACAGTCAACGGCGACTCACTTTGGGAAACATTCAACCGTCGCTTCGACATCCTTTTTGCTGAGGATTGTCGTGATGAGAACGGCCGTTTCCATCATATTCGGCGAGGGCGTCATGGAATGGGTGCTGTCATCGTGTATCTGCAAAGGATAGCCGATGAAAAAGGTCTTGTGAGGTTCTATGAGCTAATGGCTATCAAATTAGCCCGCCTGAAAGGTGAACTGGAACTTTTATGGTACGCACCTTATTTAAAAATACTCCGCGCTATCCACATTGGCTGTGTGCAGTCGACAGAGTGGAAATATAAGCATCGAAGGCAGCGCCGAGGATCCCACGCCCACTTCCACATCTGAACGACAGCAAGCGCGTGCAGCGTCAGATGCTCACGAACGGCAACAAGCGCGTACAGCGTCAGGCGGTCACGGCATTCCCAAATATGCGTCAGCACCTGCCAACGACGACTCTGAAGTCGACGCGGCTTCGACTGAACGCCTGGTGAGTTGTAGCTTTCTCTGTGTGCCTGTGCTTGGCTCAGAACGCTTCAGAAACCTGTGAGGAACTTAACGAAGGCACGCAACTCGAAGAGCACCATCAAAGCGACCCTGAAGGCACACTCAACGCTAATTCTCGCACTCGGAGGTAAGTCCAGTACATCTCTATTGAAATAGAACCTCGTTCGCTGATACAACGATATGTACAAAGATCTACCAATTAAAGACGACCCTAAGGACAAGACATACTGGCCTGCCTCTGCAGATGATCGCGAGCGTTCGATTTCGCCGATCCCGCCTTACGATCTTGACAGCGATGGGTTTGAGATCACTGAGAGCGATGCTCAGCCGGTACGTGCTATGTCGCAATTTGATATGCTTTGTACTTACCTAGAAATATAAGCTGAAGCCTCGAGGAGGAAAGCGAAAGGTCGTTGAGTCGCCGGACGAGGGGTCAGAGACAGATAGTGGGAACGGAAGTGAGAGTGGGAGCGGAATATCAGCAGGAGTGTCAAGAGTACGAAAGAAGGTAAGGACTTTACCTTCCCGGGGCGTCACCATTTCCAAGGTGCACTCATATTCTGTATAGCGGTTGCGCACTTCAAGGGGCAAGCATAAGCGATCTCAGCGTCCACGGAAAGTGACGGAGGAGACAACGCGAAGTTGCCTTGCCACTATGGAGACGTCAGATGGCGAAACAGTTCTGCGGCAGGTACAAGCGAAAGAAAGCGAGGACAGCAGACGCTCCGGAACGCGCGGGCCCCGCAACGAGGCACTACCGCATTGGACTGGCCCAAAGGCCATTCTTGATCCTCAGGGCGGAAAGCGATGGCTCTTCGTTTGCAAGCATTGCGATGCGTGAGTGCATTTTTCATCGTCATCTGACGCCGGCTCATGTTTGGGACTCACTGCATCGGATGAAGAGAACGCACGGTTGTCCGTCAAGCAGACGAATGGAAGGATGAACGGCGAAAACCTGTTTTGGGCAACCTTACGACACACACTAATTCAAAGCACGTGGACACTGTCAAAGAGGTGAAGGCTGCGAAGACGACACCACAAGATGGGCAGAATCCAAGTCGATCAGCGAACGGCAGCTACACTCCAGCCAGTGCACGGCTGATGGAGAAGTTTCTTGAGGATGGCCGGCTCAACCCGAAGCGCGATCCCACTCAGAAGGGATTCCTGCGCGTGTTCGCGGCATGGCTACTCGAGGAGAACCTTCCTTTCACGACTGGAGAAGCCCCCGGTCTTCACCGACTTTTCCATTATTTAGGCATCAAGTTCATTCTACCGACGGACACCACCGTGCGCAACACTCTCGCGCGCATCTTTGCGGATCTGCATGCTGCACTCGTCAAGGAGCTTGCGGTGAGTCCTAGAACTCATGATCAACGTAATATGTCATCATATTTGATATGCATTACAGGCTGTGAAGTCGAAGATCGCCTATTCGACAGACACTTGGAGCACGCCGCAAATGGTCTTCACGTTTGCAGGAACCATTGCGAACGTCGTCAACGATGACTGGGAGCTTGTAGAGCGGCTGCTGGACCTTCGCCATCTAGGAGATAATGAGCACGAAGGCGTGGAGGCTGCAAAAGCATTTGTTGACTCGGCTTCGAAGCGCGGAAGCCTGAACAAGATGAGTGGCTTCACGGTCATCTTTGCAACCAGTGAACTGATAGCAGAACAATTCCATCACTTTATAGCACTAACTATGGACAATGCGAGCGTCAATGACGTGCTCGCACGCACGCTCGGGCCGATCCTCATGGAACGCTACGCTATCCCATTCAATCCCAGTAACGGCCAAATTCGGTGTCTTGCCCATGTCGTCAATCTGGTCGTCCAGAAGATCTTGAGTGCTCTGGGTGAAGCCAAGGACCCTGACGAAGATGACTATTATTTGCTGCATAAGTTCCTCTCATTTCATTATACGCCTGAAGCGGATGAAGAACTCAAAGAGCTTGAGAAGGAGGAGACTGTGAAGGCTGATGACTCGGCTGCTGCAGAGAATCCGGTAGAGGATCAGGTGGATGAGCCGGTTGAAGGAGAGCTCGTCGCTGTACAGAAGGTGCGAATAGTGGTCGCTTTATTAATCTGTTGCTCATCATTTGTGTCAACCAGCTGCGCATGATTGTACGAAAGATCGTTAGCTCCCCGCAACGTCGCTCGTCTTTCCGCAAGCTCGCCAAGGAGCACTACAGTGGCCAGTATGCTCAAAATGGCGGAAGGGAACTCAGCGCCCTAATGCCTATTCGAGATGTGCCAACGCGTTGGAATTGCACGCACGCCATGATTGAACGTGCATTGCTATTGAAGAAGGTCAGTCTATGCTTTTACATACATTGTAGACTGCGCTGATTGTCGATGACAGGCGATCAATGGCTGGGTAGCGGCGCGAGATAAGCTCGAAGCTCTGACGCTGACACCGTCAGATTGGAATCTGTTGCAGCAGCTATGCGAAATTCTTGGAGTTGGTTTCTGCTATGTTATCTGCTATCCAGTCTAATGCCTTCTTATAGGCATTCACAGTTGTCACTCGACATATGTCCCTTGCAGACACACCAACATTGCCGTGGGTGTTGCCAATGTATCACCATATGCAAGGAACACTAGAGCAGGCCATTGCGACGACAACGCTATCATCCATTAAGCGCGCCACTACTGCAGGTCTATCTAAGCTCAATGCATACTTTGTGAAGGCTCTCGACTGCCAACACAATGTTATTGCGACTGGTAAGCTGTCATACTGCTTGCTTATAGTGCACCACTTGTTGACAGTTGTAACTAGTATGCCATCCATCGCTCCGTCAAGCATGGTTTGCAAGGCTTGGAGAAGATCGCAAGGAACGTGCTTGGACGATTTTCGAATATGTTTTTCAAGAGTATGAGAAGACTGGTCCAAAGGTCGTGGTTAAGCCACAGATGGCATCACAACCGATCACGCAGACCTTTCTTGACACTCTTACATCTGATGTTGACTTTGCTGCTGATACTCCTGTCATAGCTGAGTCAGAGCTTGAGAGGTGGAAGCGTGGAGTTGGGGGAAAAGGTGATCCATATGCACCTCTTATCTGGTGGAAGGTAATTCTCATTTTACGAGTATTCAAAGTCTTTTGCTTATGTTGGTTGGTTTATAGGCTCATGAACATGAGTTTCCTGGCATTTCTCATATGGCTCGAGATTTCCTTGCCATTCCTGGTGCAAGTGTCGCAGTTGAACATTTGTTTTCTGCTAGCCGCCATGTATGTGCCGATGCACGCAGCTCCTTGAAGGCCTCCACGATCACAGAAGCAACATGTGTGAAGCAATGGATTCATCAGGGGCTGTTCACGGTTGAGTAGAACTTGTCAAATGATGGGACAAAAAACTATATAAACTATATATAAACTATATATACTACATATATCAAAACTATATACTATATACTGTTTATTTACACCTCGGGAGTGTAAATAGTATAAATAGTTGGAGCCTTAGTGGGAGGCTCCGCACCCACCGTGTGAAGGATCTCAGGAACTCCTGGATCTGCTCTCGCCTAACCCGTCAGGGTTCTCTGGTCTGAGTAGAGGAGTAAAGACCAACTCGAAACTGTGGAGTAGGCCTCAGCTCGAGTCAGTATATATGCTGTTGGAAGTGGCCGACCGACGGCACTTTCGATAGAATGTGCTCAACGTGTCAGGGGGGACGAGCGCCAAGCGACGGCTGAAACGCATCGCAGGCGGTACCTGGAAACGGAGCGGGCGAGTACGGAAGGGTGGAAAAGACATATAAGTACGCACCTGTATTACTGTACTCCCCAGTCATTTGTGGCCTCACCAGCCTCTCACTCCCTTTGTGCCCATGAGACGGGAAGGTGCCGGCTGGCTAACACCCTTGCCACATCACGATTTCCTAGACAAACGACTCCGATTGGCCCACATAAGGGCAACTACATGGGCGCAGTGTCGAGGCGGTGCCACTCAGCTCGAGGGGGGGAAACCACTCGATATGGTCGGCGATAGCATTCCGGGAAAAACTACCCCGGGGGTTTAATACATGTTTTAAACTGTACGCGCCGCGTAGGCGACAGTTTTGTACATTTTTTTGCATGTTTTAAACTAGTTTTCAACATCATTACATAATATTTCATTACATAGTGTATCATTACATCTCCCAGTCGGAGGCCTGCACAACACGCTGGATACCGCTAGCAAGAGGAGGGATGATCTTGGATCCTGAGGCTGTACTTGGCTCTGCAAGAAGAGGTGTGTCAGATAGAAAGTCACGCAGTTCGAGGGATGCCAAATCTGCGTGAAAAATTGCATCCAGCACATTTGTCGTCACGTCCACACCCTCCACATCCTCATCCGGGTCAACCTCATCAGTCCAAGAATCAGCATCAGACTCAACATCAGAGTTGGTATCTGAGGTGCTCGCATCATCAGATGTCACGGAGTCACCTCGCTTCTCTTTCGTAAACAGGGTTTGCTTAATATCACGGAATTTGACAGTTGGACGGATTGGAGGCACAGTCCTAGTCTGCGTAAGGAAATAAGAATGCCGCGGTGCAGAATATCACTAAATAGCTCACCTGGTTGTGGTCACGGTACCACTGCTTGATCTGTACAGTACGCACCAAAGTCGCAACCTTCATACGGTTGCGCCGAGCACTGTTTAGCCAGGTCATTAGGGATGCAGTGCGCTCGTCGCTCATTGAATTGGAAGTGAGCGAGAACAGCATATATGCCATGTACTATGCACGCAACACATGAGTTTGACAATTGAATCAACAGTCAATTTAAACAAGTATCCATACCGCGAGCGGCTGAGCGTCATTTGATGGATCTTGGTTCAAATGCTCCCACCATTGCTGAGGTCCCTGTGTCGGCTGCAAAGGTCTATCGAATGGGTATGCAGACTTCGTAAACTTGACAATTTGTTCTTTCAGTCTCAGGATTGCATCTAAGGCTTCCAGGTCGGCAATCGTCTGACCCGACTGGTATTCCACCTTCAGCAGTCGAAGCAGGTAGTTGCCAACACGACGAAGTGTATGAGGAAGCTGCTCATTGTCTGACTTTGCCTTGGGACCGGAGTTGTTGGAAATCCGTGAAGGTATCTTAATTGTCGGGATCTTGAGAGGATTGAAATCACGGAGGATGTTCGCACCACGAAAACCTGTAAGTCAATGTATCAGAATAACCTGATCATTTGGACTGAGCATCTTTAAATGAGAACGCACGTGGATCAAGCACAAAGCCAGTCAGGTAGACGTCATCAGGTGCATGATCAATCATCTGCTTGAACCTGTGGTTTGCGTTACAGCGTATCTCTTCTTTCACGGCATTGTCAAGGCTATTTGTAGGCTCAGTTATGAATGCATGCAACTCTGCCATAGATGCGAGCCAGAATATGTAGACATCAGATATGGTTGAATGAGTGGACTCCAGACAAGTAATCGACTTTGCAAGCGGCTTCAAGATTGTTGCAAACTCTTCAAGCCTGAACTTGAATTGGGTCTCAGCAATTCCAGTCATGAAGATGTTGTTGATTTTCTGGTCGGCTGATGAGTACGCAAGTTGTCATTTCATATTTTAAAATTACTACTCACCGGAACAGAGATGATGTTCTCTTTACATAATGATGAGATTGCTGGAAGACAACGTAGGAGTGATTCACCAGAGTGATACAGGGTAGCGAATCGGGTCTTTCCCACAGAAACCAGACCACGCCCAATACAGAGCTGTTTTCTGCGGGTACGAAGATGTGCGTTCGCAAAAGACGACTTTTTGAAGTATCTGATTGACGTCTTGATGTTCGCGATAACCTGTGATTTGACTGAGATTGTAACAATGCTGAGCAATGTGTTATTTGCATACCGGCTCAAAGTAGGTGATTTTTGATATGTCCTTACACAGTAAACTCATTCGGTGACAAGAGTCAGGCAAGATAATGATCCAAGCATAGTCCTTTTTGATAAGATCACGCGCTACGGTTGTATTACCCGTGTTATCTGACGTGATTCCACGAAAGCGGTGAGGTCCTACAGCTTCAATGACCTGCAAATGCTATGATGTGAGTTTCGACGTTGCATAGCATGGATGAGAGCTCATGTACCAATTTGAGAACACCATAGAGATGCTCACCCGTATGAGATTCATGAGAAGCCTCATTGCCTTCCCACAAGAACATGCGGCGGTCCGCAGTGATGATATGCACAGTATAAACAGAATCAATAGCCTTCGTCGTTCCACCATCAAATGACAATGTGAGATTTTGGTGCGTTTGTAGAAGCTCCAATGTGAGTTTCTTGATGTGCGCGGCTTCTCTGGGAATGTGAGTATCTTCTATCGTGCTGCCACACGCCGGCTTGAAGTTTCGGTTGCCATGTGCCCACAGCGCTTTCCATTCCGGGAGATCTGCCTTGCTCGGTGGAATACCGGCAGCGACAAAAAACTGCATCACATCGAAGTCTAATTGCGTCTGGACTTGTTTTCGACCCTCCTGCTTTGCAGCATCGAAGACTGATGGTTGCGCTGAAGTGGTGCCTAGCGAAGTGCGTGGCTTGAAACTGGACCAATGTGCTGCCTTCTTCACATCTGGAATAGCAGAGCGACTGGAAGGTGGGTCACAAGATGATTCTGATGTCCCTGCACCGTCTCCTTCGCAGGCAGGTGATGCCGATGCGGTTCTGATTTTCGCACCGAGAGAGTCATTTGATAAGAGCAAGCTTGCTTCCTGACGAAGCTCGTGATGAAGGTATGCGCATTGCTCAGCGTGTTTGAGTATATGGCCTTTGGGTCTTTCTTCAGCTTTCAAACGGAAGTCACAGCCTTGCTTAGCTTCAACACATCGCCAGTGTGTGCCAACAACTCCCTTCACTTTCGTACGAACACAGAGTCTGTCCAGGAGATCTGTACCAGGTCGACCTCCAGGCCCCTTTGGCAGTGGCTTAGGTATATCCTCATATAAATCCATGATGGATGTGCCGATAACTGAGCCCCTCGTACGTTTGGTTTTCCTGCCATTGCCATGGTGTGTTGCCAATCGCTTCTCTCCTGTCTGCACCTCCATACTAGCATCGCCCGGCAACCCTTCCTTCAACAAAGCTGGATCAATTGGTATCGATGACTGTGTATGATGTCATTTTCGTGAGTCTCGGGCAGGTCTCAAGCTTAGAATTCACTCACACAACAATGAGCTCGTGCTGCATCCAGAAGGTCTGCCACCCACTTCCGTAAGACTGCATTCATAGGATCTGAGAAAATATGCTTTCGCAGTGCATTCACCACAGCCGTCAATCCTTCTCCTCGCTGGTGAAATATAATGGGGTATTCGGTACGCCCTTTTGGTGCAAAAATGACCTCGAGATCGTGGTTGAATGCCGCAGCTGCTGATCCATAGTCAGTGATCGCATCTTCGCTCGGTGCATAACCCTTGAAGTCATAGCAATTGCCAATGGGAATATCCTCAGGTAGATGTTCTAGGTGCTGGCGCAACTGGAACAGTTGCTTATTCAGAGCAGCGTGGGAGGGAATCTCTACGTTCATATCAATATCCATGAATGTTGCTGCCGCACTCGGTGTCGGAAGCCACAGCTGTACAGTGTTGATCGATCATTTCGTCTCAATATCCAAGAATTGGAATTTCTATATCATATTTGAATGATCTTAGGGCCACAGTGGCCGCTCGCAGCCATCTTCACTGAGCGCTCGAACTGGAGTTTAATACACCGTTTTTTGGGGGTCGAGTTTTGAACATGTTTAATACATAGTTTAAAACATGTATAAAACCCTTGTCGTACAAAACTACTTAGTTTTCTCCGGAACAGTAGTCGGCGACGCGAGCCGGGCTGCATTGACAGCGAAATCGCAGGGCGGGAGCGACCTGGCACGGGCGCTATACAAAAGGATGTGCGGCGCTGGTGCCCAGGGGCACACAGAAGTGGGGCAGCGCTGATGCCCAGGCACACACACAAATGGGGCAGCGCCTGGACCGTAAAGGTGCTATACAAGTGGCGGAGCACTCTGCGGTCCAGGCACTATACAAGACGGACAGGGCACTCACCGGGAGGGCGACACAAAGGAACCGGGAGCACAGACGTCATGCGCAGCAAGAAGAGGGATGGGGCATCGAGGAGGCGTGATATGAAATATCCTACACGTTCTCGTGCGAGGGGGCGTGTTGGAAGTGGCCGACTGACGGCACTTTTGGTAGAATGCGCTCAATGCGTCGGGAGGGATGAGCACCAAGTGACAGCTGAAACGCGTTGCAGGCAGTACCTGGAAACGGAGCGGGCGAGTACGGAAGGGTGGAAAAGACATATAAGTACGCACCTGTAGTACCATAGGCCCCAGTCGTTTGTGGCCTCACCAGCCTCTCACTCCCTTTGCACCCATGAGACGGGAAGGTGCCAGCTGGCTAACACCATTGCCACACCACGATTTCCTAGATATGCAAGTGGGGTAAGACCCCTGGTACTGGGTGTAGGACCCTGCATACCCTAGATTCGTACTAATACATCATTATGGCATGCTATGGCGTGCTCAGGCCTAGTGGAGTCCATCTAAGTCTAGGAGTGTCTATGGAGTCCAGGCTTATGATGTCACTATGATGTAGGGTCACGTGACTGGTACATGTCCGAGAGATGTCCGAGTGGCATGGTGTCCTATGGTATACACATGGAGGCATAGTGATACATTCTGTATATGGTTTATGGGTGGTTAAATAATGGTCTGTGAATGCTTGAGACTTGTGGTGTGGAAAAACCGTGACAGTACCCCCCCCTCCAGGCTGAAGTGTCCTCACGAGGCTTGAATTTTAGTCATAGATGCATGGGTGTACGGCTTGCAGGCTCCATTTGTATTTGGGTATTGGTGTCCGAGTACGTTCCGGGTTGTATGTGGTATAGGTGGAGACATCCTCTTCTTTCACCGGAGTATCCTTGAAGCGCATGCGTTGCCAGGGTATTGGTGCATCATCGAGGTAATAGTAGCCATGAGTGCACTCCAGGCACTGGACCTTTCCTTCTTCTACAATTCACTGGGCATTGACTGGGTATACAAATAGATGGTTCTGCGATTTGGGGGTTCCAATGAATAGGACTGTGTGAATATAGTGGTCCGGGCTCACTAGCCAAATGCAGACAATGTCGAACTTCTCAGGTAGCCCTATTTCTAGGCCAATCAGGGTATCGAGGGGTACATGAAGTATGACATGGGCTTGGAACTTGCACTTATACCATCGTATCATTTTGTGATCCCAGTAGATCTTTTCCTTCCACTTTTCTTCTCCTTCCTCATCATCCTTTCTCTCTTACTGTCTGGTTCATCATCGCTTTCTTCATCTTCTTGAGCGCGGTCCTTTGACCACCGGGTATAGTGAGGAGATTAGGCAGTTTGGGCGCCTTCGGGTGTAGCTTATGGAAGTTATTAAGTAATAGTATGTAGTTCTTTGCTATTGTAGAGCGGGGTATCCAAGTGTTCTCGGTGTCATCCCTCCCTTTCCATTTGACCAGGTATAATAGTCCATTCTTGGACTTTTTACTGTCTAGTATTTGGTCAATGGTGGGGGATTCACCTTCCGGAATGGGTATAGTAGTATCGTCTTTTTGTATACTGAATTGAGTGGGGTGATATGGTATCAATAAGAATTCGTGGAAGACAGGGTGTATATGACACCAAGCAGATGGGAGCTTGAGTCTGAAGGCCGACTTCCTGACCTTTTCTACTATACTAAATGGTCCGTATCATTTATTGTCCAGCTTCTTGCTTGGTCGAGTCGTGGTAATATTAGTTCCTTCTAATAATACCAGATTGCCCTTGGTATAGGCTGCATGGTCCAGGCATTTGTCATCGTGGTACTTTTTCATTATACCTTTTGCTTTGGTAAGGTGATTAGTTGCATCCTTGGAAAGTTCCTCCATCTCTTTCGTCCATTCTTCGGCCGATTGGTTACGGGGTTCTTTCCTGGTTTTGACTCCCGTGTAGGGGTGGTATCCATGTGTAAGGTAGAATGGGGTATAGCTGGTGCTTGCCTGTCTATGGTTTCAGTATGCGAACATAGCGAGAGGTATCTTGAATGGCCAGTCGTCCTGTCTATAGGAAGTATATATCCTCAAGTAGGTCTCTATTTCCTGCTTCATCCATTCAGTCTGCCCATCCGTCTGAGGGTGGTAGGCAGTAGAAGGATTCCCCTGGATGCCCAACTGTTGGTATACATCCTTGGTAAATGAGGATACAAACTGTGGTCCTCTATCGGACCATATCCTTTCCGCTAGTCCGTGAGCTGACATTACATGCTTAATGTATAGGTCTGCATAGTCCTTCAAGTTAATCAACTCCTTGCAGGGTATAGCTATGAAGTCTTTCAACTTCAGATCCACAAATACAAGGATGGAGTCGTACTCATCTACAGTGAGTAGTTTCACAATAAGGTCTGTGGAGATGTGCTGCCAGTTATGATCTGGAACTGGGTTTGGCTCTAATGGTGCTGATCTATGTTGGCGGTTAGGTTTGGCCTTTTGACAGGTCCCACAACCTTTCACATATGCCATAACATCTTTGATCATCTCCGGCCACCAGTACAATCGCTTGATTAATTCCATGGTCCTTTCTATTCCTGGATGTCCCATGAATGCGGCATCGTGGTGGAACTGTATTACTTTGCTGATTATTTCTTGGTTGTTTGGGATTATGAGAATTTTACCCCCCCTCCAGAGTGTGCCGTCCTCAGCTGACTCAAGCTCCTTTTGAGGCAAAGTTTTTCATAATAAATACTCAGAAGAATGTATGGCACAGAGGTCACGGATGGCGTCTGTCCCTACAACTTTGGTACTCCGGAACAACTCAGCAGGTAATATGACCTGATTATCCAAGTGATCCATACCGTCATCATAGTCTGGTCTTCTGCTAAGAGCATCTGCTGTGCTGTTTTTCTTGCCTGGGATATGGTGGAGTTCAAAATTGTATTCAGCGAGGAAAGACATCCATCGTGCTTGTCGGGGGTTGATTTTCTGGGGTTTTCTAAAGTATGTCAGATTAAGGTGATCAGTGAAGATCTGTACAGTATGCTTGGTGTGTATTAAGTAGTGTCGCCATTCCTCTAGACAATCTACAATGGCGAGAAGTTCTCTATCATACACTTGATAGTTCTTCTCAGTGTCCTTGAACGACCTACTGTAATAGGATACTGGTACCCAAAGATTATCTTGCTTCTGCATAAGAACTGCCCCGAGGGCGAATTGCAAAGCATCTACCTATGTGTACAATGGGGGCCGATGTGAGAAGGTCCTTGAGACCCTGGAAGGCACTTCGCTCTGTGTCCGTCCATTCCCATTCTCGGTTGCCCGTTAGGTCTGAAAGGGGCTTGGCCAAAGAGCTGAAGCCTTTCACAAAATGTCTGTAATAATTACAAAATCTGAGGAACTGCTGAACGTCCTTCTTAGACCTGGGTTCTGGCCATTTGGCAATGCCGGCAACCTTTGCAGGATCCATGCGAAGTTTCTCATGGCCAATGATGTGGCCTAAGTACTCCGTCTCTTCAACATGGAACTCACATTTCTCAGGTTTGCACATCAGCTTATGTTCCCAGAGTATTCTAAGTACCTGTTTTACAACCTGACAATGTTCCTCCATGTTGTTGGTGAATATTAAGATATCGTCCAGGTATACCATAACTTTTCCAATGAAGATTAGATCGTGGAAGATGTCATTCATCATAATTTGGAACGTTGATGGTGAATTAGTGAGTCCGAAGAACATCACTAGAGGTTCGAATAGACCTCAGTTTGTGACGAACGCAGCCTTTTCCTCGTTGCCTTCCTTGATCCATATGTTATTATAGCCCCATCAGATATTGAGCTTAGAGTAGAACTGGGCTCTCTTAAGCCGGTTGAATAGGTTATTGATTAGAGGGAGCGGGTATTTATTTTTCTTGGTTACTTCATTGAGCCGTCTATAGTCCTGTACTGGCCTCAACTTGCCATCCTTTTTCTTAACAAAGAAGGGGGGGGTGCCCCAGGGGGATTTAGACTGTCAGATGCGACCAGTCTTCAGGTTTTCTTCGAGAAATATATTCAGAGCTTCTTGTTCTTTTACGCTCATTGGATATACCTTTCTGCAGAAGGGCTTTGCGTCATCTATTAGTTCTATGGCATGATCCCATACTCTGCATTCAGGGAGCTGATCGAATTCAGCTTCCTCAAAGACCTCCTTGTAATCCCAGTATTCTTCTGGAACAACCTCTTGCATGCTCTTGGCTTTGGTACTTGTGCCCTGAGCGATGGCCAGGTCAGTGGCCTTGGTGGCTCGTATTTGTTCGTATTCAGAAAATTGCTTCCGAATGTAGTCACTGTCCAGTGCCAGCACCTTGTCTCCTTCTTCCAACTGAAGCTTCCTGCAGTTACAACGTGTAAAGTGAAGCATGTGTTTAGCCCAGTCAATGTCAGGGTTGTGATTCTCTAACCAATCGAACCTGAGGAACATATCATGGTCTGAAAGAGTAGTCACATTGAAATGTCAGTGCTCTCTATGGCCTTGAATAACTATGTCTAATGATACATAATGGGTCATATCGCCATCTCGGTTGGGGGCCTCATCTGCGTTGAATACTCAGAGTGGTCGCTCGAACAGTATTTTAGGTATCTGGAACTTAGATATGAATTGTTCGTCGATACAACACCCGGTACAACCTGAATCTAGGAGGGCTTTGGTGGATATATTCCTATCCCCAACTTCTATTGTTACGGGTATATCGATTTGGCGATGTCTTCATACTGCGCGGACGTTGAATTGTCCCTGTAGTTTAGTACCAGTCGATCCGAAGCCAGCAGTCTCTCTTGCTGTTTCTGCTATTTCCGTCACGACTTCGGTGATAGGGATATCATTTCGTTCCAAGATTAGCTGGGTGACTCCGTCCCCATAGTCAATCTGGAACAGGATATCAAGGGTATTGATTAGGAGTATTTTGACTCGACTGACATAGTCAGAGTATATTACTCCAGCTCCTACATCTATTCCATGTTTTGCAGCCAAGCCTGAGCATGGAGCGATGTGTCCGTGTCACAGTATTAAGTGGCACCTTTCTTTTTGCACCATTAAAGTCCTCATTTGAGTGGTTATTCGGACGCCAACCTTCATATTGGTCTCGCAAC